TTTTTTTTTTTTTTTTTTTTTTTTTTTTTGCGGTACGTGGGCCTCTCACTGTTGTGGCCTCTCCCGTTGTAGAGCACAGGCGCTCCGGACGCGCAGGCTCAGCGGCCACGGCTCACGGGCCCAGCTGCTCCACGGCATGTGGGGCTGGGGCACGAACCCATGTCCCCTGCATCAGCAGGCAGACTCTCAACCACTGTGCCACCAGGGAAACCCACAGAGCTTGTTTTAGATCGTTGGTTGGCAGGGAGGTTGTGATTCCTAACACAGTTGGTATGGGGTCTGGGGTGTCCCGAAGCTTGAGTTGGCCTGCTAGTGCACAGGGCCAGGGCCCAGCTGGTCCCAGGGTAGGTTCTAGCCTGCTGTGGGCAGGCTAGGTCCACAGGCTGTGGGATTGTGGTTTTCTTTTGTCTGGTGTCTGTCCCCTGGTGGCTGAGGCTGGTCTAGAGTCTAGTGCAGGCTTCCTGGAGGACAGGGCCACTGTCTGCCCACTGGTGGGTGGACCTGGGTCTTGGCCCTCTGGTGGGCAAGGCCCTGTCTAGAGGAGTGTCTAGAGGAGGCTGTGGGCTCAGGAGGACTTTAGGAAGCCTGTCTGCTTATGGGTGGGGCTGTGTCCCCACTCAATTAGTTGTTTGGCCTGCGGCATCCCAGCACTGGTGACTACAGACTATTGGATGGGGCTAGGTCTTGGCTCTAATGGCTAGAGGGAGGAGCCCAAGATCACGCCCACCAGCACTGGCTTCCAAATGTGACTGAGCTGCCAAATGTAGCTGTTGTCAGCTACAGCCGGCTCCCCACCTCTCCAAGGCCAGCAGGTAGGTTTGACTCAGACTCCTATCAAGTTACTGCTTTTGCCCTGAGTCCCGGTGCATGTAAGATCTTGTGTGTGCCTTTTAAGAGTGAAGTTGTATTTCCCACAGTCCTTCCTGAAATTAAGCCCAGCTGGCCTTCAAAGCCAAATGATCTGGGGGCTAGTCTTCCTGGTGCAGGACCCCCAGGCTGGGGAGCCTAACGTGGGGCTCAGAACTCTCATTTCTGTGGGAGAACTTCCACACTATAACTTTTTTTTTTTTTTTTTTGACCATGTGGCTTGCAGAATCTTAGTTCTGTGACCAGGGATCGAACCCACACCCTTAGCAGTGAAAGAGCAGAGTCCTAACCACTGGACCACCAGGGAATTCCCACGTCTGCACTATAATTATTCTCCAGTTTGTGTGTTGCCCACCTGGGAGTATGGGACTTGATTATATCATGTCCCCTCCTACTCATCTTGTGGTTCCTTTTTTGTGTCTTTAGTTGTAAACGATCTTTTCTGGGAGGTTTTGGTCTTTTTCATAGATGGTTGTTCTGCAGATAGTTGTGGTTTTGGTGTGGTTGTGAGAGGAAGTGAGCTCAGAGTCTTTCTACTCCACCACTTTGGCCGATCTTCAAGGGACTGTGTTCATATTCTCAGCCTTGGGCAGATGTCTTGCCTGGACCATAGTAGGTGAACACTTACAGGTTCTTGTTCATGGACAAGGCAACACTCTTCTGCATCTCCACTGTGCCCTGGGCCTGTGGCCTAGACTTCTGTCCCTGGGCTGGTGATGTTCTCCAGCACTGGGGCTGGTATGAGTTCTGGTCTCTGCCCAGCTTTATCTCCTACCCACTGTGGGTTCCCTTCTTCCATTTCTGACACTTGATGATTTCCCTTTCTTCTTTTTAAGTTTAACTGTGTATTAAACTTTCATTATCTTAAAAAAATGTATTGGTTTATTTATTTATTTATTTGCTTGGGTTTGGTCTTAGTTGCATTATGTGGGCTCTTTAGTTGTGGCATGTGAACTCAGTTGCAGCAAGCATGTGGAATCTAGTTCCCTGACCAGGGATCGAGCCTGGGCCCTCTGCATTGGGAGCATGGAGTCTTAACCACTGTGCCACCAGAGAAGCCCCTTATCTTTTTAATGTTTTCTCCAACATTTGTATTGTTTAGAGTGAGAAAGGGAAGGGTTTTTATGTCTTCTCAGAGTATTTTAACTAGAAATCTCTCTATGTAAGTTCTTTAATCTTATTAAGTCTCAGTTTCCTCTTCAATAAAAGTGCTGGAGAAAGTACATATGAATACTTAAGCATAGTGTCTGCAAAAAAGTAAATATTTTAAAAACAGCATAGCCATTTTATTGTTTTCATTAGTACTGTAATAATTGTTGTGATTCCATTTTTCCTCTCCATTGCTGAATATCTCTGTAGGCATAATTATAGCCCAGGATTGCTGTAAATATTAAATTATTTTTAAAAATTTGTTGTTGACGCTTTTAAAAATTGATAAAAGTAATACACATTGGGAGTTCCCTGGTAGTCTAGTGGTTAGGGTCCCAGGTTTTCACCACTGTGGCCTGGGTTCAATCCCTGGTCAGGGAACTAAGATCCCACATGCCCCACAGCATGTCCAAAAAAAAAAAGGAATTCCCATTAAATGGGAAACCCTCAGCCATAGAGAAGTGTAGGCAGGGTCTAATAGGTCACTGTGTCTTTGGGCAGTATAGATTTTAGGTCAGAGCCTACAGATGGGTAACCCAGAGCCCAAAATGTTTTTATTTGGCTGGCACAATGTTTCCAAAACTCTAAATTTGTTGCTAACACTTAAAAATGGTGATATTTCACATAAAATTCAGATATCTAACTTTTCTTGAGTAATCAGGGTAATCTGACCATACTAGGCTATCTTCACAAACAGGATCAACAGCTTGTGCTGAATGGTTGCTCTCCCATGTTTTCTCTCCATTATTGAGGCCAAAGGCCACTTACCATTTATTGTTACACATTTACTGTTGTTTTTTAAAATAGTACAGAAATAGTTGTATATGCCTATTTTTCTGTCAAAAATAGGAAAGCAAGAGATAGATGGAGAAAAACCACATTGTAAGCATTGATGAAAAAATTAATCAGTTGGTCTAAGAAAGAAATGGAAGATTTTATTTGAGCCAAATTTGAGGATTATAACCCAGGAAGAGCATCTCAGAAAGCTCTGAGACCTGTTCCACCCCTTAGAAGTCAAGACGCAGTTATATAAGTTTTTTGAGACAGAGGCTGTACATCAAATGCTGTATTACTGGCAGTTTACATAATCCAGATCTAAGTGCCATTTTTCCACCAAAGGATAGAAAAAAATTTTTTATTTAAATTTTTCTTGTCTTGCCATAAAATATGAGTTTTATTTCACATACAGAAAATGGAAAAGAGGCTATTTTGTGATAGGAAGGAAGACAGTTCCTACATATTTAATAGGATGTCTGTGTCAGTTTTCTCTTGCACTTGGCTTGCTTCACTTATTTGTGTTATCCTGTTTGGACCCTGTGGACATTTCAATTTGCAACCTCCTCCTGAACATCCTGGCTCTCTAAGTTCTGTTCTTTTTTTTTCTTTTCTAGTCCTGTCTTGCCTTTTGTACTGTCCTAGCTTACCCTCAATAACTGAGTGTGTTTCCACGGAGAACTACCGAGACCTCTGGAGCAACGGAAAATCCATGTGTACTCAAGCCTGTTTGCTCCATCCCTCACCAGCCACGCCTCCTAGAAAAGTAAAAGTTCCCCTACCACTTGCTGATGATTAGATTTTTAAAAAATTTTTATTTATTTATTTTTGTCTGCGTTGGGTCTTCGTTGCTGTGCACGGGCTTTCTCTAGTTGTGGCGAGCAGGGGCTACTGTTCGTTGCGGTGCGAGGGCTTCTCATTGTGGTGGCTTCTCTTTGTTGTGGAGCACAGGCTCTAGGGTTGCAGGCTCAGTAGTTGTGGCACGTGGGCTCAGTAGTTGTGGTACATGGGCTCTAGAGCACAGGCTCAGTAGTTGTGGCACACGGGCCAAGTTGCTCCGCAGCATGTGGGATCTTCCTGGACCAGGGCTCGAACCCATGTCCCTGCATTGGCAGGCAGACTCTTAACCACTGCACCACCAGGGAAACCCTAGATTTTTTTTTAATTGCAAAGCAGAAGTTTCCATTCAACTCTTAGACATTGAAGGTTCAAACACAAACACCCTGAGGAAGATCCATTAACTAAAATTTACTCACAATAAATCAGCAAGTGGAAGTAAGAGTCTAGTTTATTCTGTTTTGATTGATGTGATTTTATAGGATTAAGAGAGCCCTCTGGCAACTGGTAGAGGGCAGGGGTTTTTTCTTGGATGCAGATAGAGGTGGAGTACAGGACATACAAAAGGGAGAGAATATTTTAAAAATCACTGTTTCATATAGAAATTTATAGCAATTATTTTAGTTTGTGAGCACATGGATTGTGAATGCAATATTTTTTGCGGGGTGGTGGTGGGGGACTTGTGTCCGTGGAGCTTTAAATTCTGTATGTGAATATATTGTTGCCATTTGTTTTGCAGATTGTGGGATTAGTGATATGCTTTCCTAAACAACAGAAAAGTTGAAGATGTCTAAACACTTAGTGGCTTTGACAGTGACCACCCTTCTTGGTATGGCTGTCGGGGGCTTTGTCCTGTGGAAAGGCATCCAGCGTAGGAGGAGTAAAGCAAGTCGTGTGACCCAGCAGCAGCTGTCACAGCAGCAGCCGAGAGTGCCAGGCAGGAGAGAGCGGCCCGCTCCAGCAGAGGACCAGCAGCACTCCAGTGCCCCCAGAGCCTCGTGGGTAGAGAGGATCCTTGGAGCAAAGGTGGCGACTGTGTCTCAGGAGGCGGAGTGGGATCAAATTGAGCCCTTGCTTAGGAGTGAGTTAGAAGATTTTCCAGTGCTTGGAATCGACTGTGAGTGGGTAAGTTAAAAGGCAAAAACGAAACGTATCTTTTCTGCTTTTCCAGCTAGGGACCTTGAATAGTCAAATAGAGGATAAGATTAAAGGAGAATTAGCTTGTGCTCAACTTATTTGTAAATAGATTTTAGCAGGAGAAGCAGCTTCTCTTCTCAGGATAGGGGAGTGCTTATAATCATGGATTCTGGAGTCTGAGCTACATGAGTCCATTTTCACCACTTATTCTGTGAACTTGAACAAGTACTTAACCTCTTTGAGCCTCAGTGTACTTATCTGTAGTGGGGTGTGTGTGTGTGTGTAATGGTATCTACCGCCCAGAGCTTTTTTAAGGATTCAAATAGATAATCCCTATATAGACTTAAGCACAATTTTAACGGAGTAATTGCTCATTATATATTAGCTACTGTTAATATTTTTAATAGTATTTTCATAGGATGCCATGGAGAAGATAGTTAAGGAGGTCTAGTTAAATGTGTGTTTATTACACAAATTGGGATTTAAAAAGATAATAGTTTAAATGCTAGACACTATTTACTCTAAGCCAGGTATTATATTGTTTTTTTTTTCTTTATCTCATTGAATTTTGACAATAATCCTTTGTAGGAAGATACTGTTATTATTTCTTTACAGATAGGAAGTGTTAAAAGGTTTAGTTACTTGCCCAAGGCTATGAAGCTAGTAACCAGCATTTGAGCTGGTCTTCCTTAACCATCGGTTAATTTTTCTAATAGCTATTACTTTGGGGGAGTTGTTACATAGTTGTGATGAGGATAATATGGTACACCTACTCTTCTGTCATTCTGACTCACAGAGTGAACTTTAATCTCCTTGCAACAGAAGATACTACAAAATATAAATAAGTCACAGTTATCATCTCTTATTAATTCAGCATAATACCTTGCCAAAATTCTGTGATCTACGTCTTCTGGGTATCTGGAATACAGTCAAGAGCCAGGAAGTGTAATCGAAAGAGGCCCTAAGCAGAATTGCTGCCACAAAATCAGATCACAGGTTCATAGGAGGAACTAAAGATGCCAGTACAATGATGACCAAGAAGAGAACACCTGACAGTGTGGGAAAAGTTTAGTAGTCACATAAGGCCCTAAGGAGCTACTGAGGGTATTTCTTTTTCTTCTTTTTTGGCCGTGCGCTGCACGGCTTGCGGGATCTTAGTTCTCTGACCAGGGATTGAACCTATGCCCTCTGCTTGAAAGTGTGGCGTCTTAGCCACTGGACCTCCAGGGAGTTCTCAAGGATATTTCTTTATATCAGCAATAGCAGTAGTAGTTTATACCAATGACCTTGGGCCATCAGGAAAGGATTGGGCACCTTTTGTTTATTGCATATAAGAATTATATCATTTTAGAAATAAACATATTTCTATATCATTTTAGACATATTTACACCAACAACCATAGAAGAAAACATTAGTAAACAGTGAGCTTTAGTAGATTAGGAAAATTCACATTTGCCAAACACCTTGATTATCCTACCAAGTATAACTGCAGCAACAACAGCGTGGTCTGAAGTGAATAGTAATGTAATCGATTTAGTAATAATATGTTTAATCACTGTAGCAGAGTAAGTTTAAGTGGCAAATAATCCAAAACCCAGTTCCTTATGGCTCTGGAATGTATTGAACTTCCTCTGATGCCACATTCCCTTCAGGTGTGATTGCATTTCTCTGATTGCTGCCACAGAAGAACTTTCATCCATCCTCCTTTTCATTCTTCCATTTCTGATTCGTTTTCTCTTTCATTCACTTTTGTGTAAGTATTTGCTTAGTTATTGTTTTTGTTCTTGTTTTACACAGTCAGTATTTGTTTCAATTTACCAAAGTGTTTACCTTTTTCTTTGCTCATCTTTCCTTATATCTCAGAACTTTCTGGCATCATTCTCTTTAAGGTTGTCCTTTAGAAGTTCATTTCTTGAGGGGTCATTGATAGTAAAGTTAATTATTATTGTTTTGAAAGTGTCTTTATTTTGCTTTTGATCTTTGAAGATATTTTCGCTGGATATGAAATTCTAGTTTAGCAACTTATCATTTTCAAGATCCCATTCCACTTTCTTCTGGCTTCCATTGTTGCTGTTGAAAATAACTGTGAGTGTAAATGTTGATTCTTTATAGGTAATCTAATTTTTGGTAGCTCCTTTTAAAATCTTTTTGAGTTGCTGGTTCTGAAGATTCGCTGTCATGAGACTAGTGTTGTCTTTCTGTGTTTCCTGTTTGGGATTCAGAGAGATATCCTGGATGTTAGGATTGGTATCATATATCAATTTTTAAATTCTCTTTGAAGATTGCCTTGTTTTTTCTCCTTCTCCTCCTCCTCTTCCTACCCCTCCTCTTTCACCTTCTTCTTCTTCCTTTTTTTTTCCTTCTTTCTTGCTGGAATTAGATCAGCTATATTCTGAACTTTTTCTGCTCTCCTACATGTCTGGTAATCTCTTTTATTTTTATTTATTTATTTTTTTTTTTTGCGGTATGCGGGCCTCTCACTGTCGCGGCCTCTCCCGTTGCGGGGCACAGGCTCTGGATGCGCAGGCTCAGCGGCCATGGCTCGCGGGCCCAGCCGCTCCGCGGCATGTGGGATCTTCCCGCGTCCCCTGCATCGGCAGGCGGACTCTCAACCACTGCGCCACCAGGGAAGCCCTGGTAATCTCTTTTATATTTAACTTATCTTAGTCTCTCTGGATTCATTCTGCACAATTTCTTCAGGTCTCTTTTATAGTTCCCTTTTTCTTTCTTTAGTTTTGTGTAACCTGCTATTTAACTTACCCCTTGAGTCTTTTTTTTTTTTTAACCTTTTTTATTGTGAAATAAAACACATCAAGAAAAGTGCCTGGGCTTCCCTGGTGGCACAGTGGTTGAGAGTCTGCCTGCCGATGCAGGGGACACGGGTTCGTGCCCCAGTCTGGGAGGATCCCACATGCCGCGGAGCGGCTGGGCCCGCGAGCCATGGCTGCTGAGCCTGCGCCTCTGGAGCCTGTGCTTCACAGCGGGAGAGGCCACGACAGTGAGAGGCCCGCGTACTGCAAAAAAAAAAAAAAAAAAGAAAAGTGCCTGAAACAAAAACAAAGAGCTAAATGATTTCATTAAAGAGAACAGCTGTGTAACTGGAAACTAGGTCAAGAAACAGAATTTGCTAGTACCCCAGAAGCTCCCCTTGTGACCCCTAGTAATCACTGTCCTCCCACCAAGGGTTACTATTATCCTGATTTTATGGTATTTACTTTCGTGTTTTTTATACTTTTACTACTTAAACATGCATGCCCTAGCACACCATTGTAAAGCAATTATACTCCAATAAAGATGTAAAAAAAAAAAAAGTGCATGCCTAGGCACGATCATTGAGTTTTGTCTGCTTTTTAAATTTAATGTAAATGAAACTATCAAGTGTGTATTTTGTGTCTGGCTTCTTCTGTTCAACATTACGTTTGTGAGACTTACCCATGTTGTGTGTGACTGTGATTCATTGCCATATGTCCATTGTGTAAATATATCATGATTTATTCATCCATTCTAATATTGATGGACTTTTGGGTTGTTTACAGTTTGGGGCTCTTACAAAGAATGCTGCAGTGAATAAATGCACTTATTATTATTGGGCATATGTATCTATGAATGGAGTTCTAGGTCATAGAGTTTGTATATATATCTTTAACTTTCATAAATAATGCCAAATTGTTTTCCAAGGTGGTTTTAACTAGTTTGCCCTCGTCAGTAGTAATGAGTGTACCTATTGTTTCTAGCTGTTTTCAGAAGTGGTTCTACTAATTTAATCTCTCACCAAGACTGTATGAAAATTTCCTTTGTCTTATATCCTTGCCCACATTTGGTACTGTCAGATTTTAAAATTTTAGCCATCCTAATGGATGTGTAGTAATATTTCATTGTGGTTTTAATTTGCATGTCCCTGACCAGTACTGAGATTGAGCATCTTTCTATATTTTATTGATTATTTTGATATCTTCTTTTATGGAGTACTTGTTCAAGTCTCTTGCCTCTTTTTCTATTGAGTTGTCTTTTTCTTACTGATTTATAGTTCTTTATATATTTTGGTTATGAACCCTTTGTGAGTTAAATGTACAGTAAATGTCTTCCCCCATTCTGTGGATTGCCTTTACATTCTTTTATTGTTAAAGCTTGATGATCAGAAGATCTGTATATAGTGCTGTGTAACAAGTCTTACCTTATCCCTAGTCATGAATATACTCTCCTATGTTATTTTCTTGGAGTTTTTTGGTTTTTTTTTTAATATATATATATAAATTTACTTATTTTATTTATTTATTTTTGCCTGCGTTTGCTCTTTGTTGTTGCGCGCAGGCTTTCTCTAATTGTGGCAAGCGGGGGCTACTCTTCGTTGCGGTGTGCGGGCTTGCAGTGGCTTCTCTTGTTGCAGAGCACAGGCTCTAGGCGTGCAGGCTTCAGTAGTTGTGGCACGAGGGATCAATAGTTGTGGCTCACGAGCTCTAGAGTGCTGGCTCAGTATTTGTGGCGCACGGGCTTAGTTGCTCCACAGCATGTGGGATCTTCCCAGACCAGGGCTCAAACCTGTGTCCCCTGCATTGGCTGGCGGATTCTTAACCACTGCACCAACAGGGAAACCCTAAATGTGTGACTCTGTTTCTGTTTTGTAATTTAGTTCACGTGTAGCCATTTTTAGATTCCACCTATAAGTGATAACTTATGATAAGTCTCTTTTTCTGTCTGACTTATGTCACTTAGAATGATCATACCTAAGTCCACCCAAGTTGCTGCAACTGGCCTTATTTCATTGATTTCATGGCTGAGTAATATTCCATCGTACATAAGTACCACATCTTCTTTATCCATTTTTTCCTTCCAAGGACATTTAGGTTGTATCCAAGTCAAGGCTCTTGTAAACAGAGCAGCACTAAACGTTGGGATGCCTGTGTCCTGTCGATGTTTGGTTTTCCCAAGAAATACGCCCATGATTGGAAGTGCCGTATGCTCTGTAGCTCTGTTTTTTAGATTTTTC